ATACAATTTATGAGCTTGGTGTGGTCCAGAATCAGCTCTATCAATTTTACCTATGCACACACATTAAATTCACTGTCAAAAGCATCGTTATTTTAAAAGTTGAGGACAACCATATACTCTTGGCTACCTGTAATTATTGGAAATAGGTAGAATATAAATGCAGAAATAATAATGGTCACTGCTTTCTATGGGTTTATTCATAGACAAAGTTCACCTAAGACTTCCATGAGAAAATAAACTAGAAGAAAGTTTGCTGTGAAAACCCAGGGATGGCTGAGTGCGATGGCTCATGCCTGTAACCCCAGCACTTTGGGAGGCCAAGGCAGGTGGATCACCTTGAACCCAGAAGTTGGAGAATAGCCTGGCCAACATGGTGAGATTCCATCTCTACAAAAAATACAAAATTTAGCCAGGCATGTTGGTACACACTTGTAATTCCATCTACTTGGGAGTCACTTAAAGCTGGGAGGCAGAGATCAGAGATTATGGTGAGCCAAGATGGCGCCACTGCACTCCAGCCTGGGCGACAGAGTGAGACACTGTCAAAAAAAAAAAAAGGAGAGAGAGAGAGCAAGAAAGGAGGGAGGGAAGGAGGGAGGGAAGGAAAAACCAACCCAGGATAGAAGAGACTATGGGATTCTACCAGGGATAGACAAAAGCAATGGCAGAGCCTTTGAACACCCCTTAATTTATCAATGTCCCTTGTCTTTGATAAGGACAGTTGACATTTTCTACATTTTACATAAAATGCTAGGCAATTGTAATTTTAAGACAAATCCTCAGTGTTTCATCTCTCATTCTCTCATGTAGAAATATTGGGAGCTGACACTGTCATCATTCAAAGCTGAACTCTCAACTCTCCACAATTGGTCTAAGATTTAAGGAAGGCCATAAGCCTGCCTGCCTGCCTGTCTTCCTTCTTCCTTCCCTCCCTCCCTCCCTGCCTCCCTTCTTTCCTTCCTTCCTTCCTTCCTTCCTTCCTTCCTTCCTTCCTTCCTTCCTTCCTTCCTTCCTTCCTTCCTTCCTTTCCTCCCTCCCTTGCTACCTCAAAAGAGGATCTACAATATGAGAAAAACTAAAGGCCAGCTTTCCAGCTTCAGGCTAACAAAATCATTCCAAGAAGGAAGAATGTACATACTGTAAAACATTTTTACAACAGAAATCTTTGAGACCTCTCTAGCTGTCTTCATAAAACTGAGAAGAATTTAAGTTTAACAAGACTTTCATTATGAGATCCCAGATAAGCTTAATAAACAGTTCACCTCAGGAGGAAAAGCACAGAATAACTTAAGAACAAGAACACCCAATAGAAGAGCTACTATCTGGCTGGGCATGGTGGCTCATGCCTGTAATCCCAGCAGTTTGGGTACTTTGGAAGGCTGAGGTGGGTGGATCACCTGAGGTCAGGAGTTCAAGACCAGCCTGGCCAACATGGTGAAACCCTGTCTCTACTAAAAATACAAAAATCAGCAGGGTGTGGTGGTGTACATCTGTAATCCCAGCTACTTAGGAAGCTGAGGCACAAGAATCACTTGAACCTAGGAGGTGAGGTTGCAGTGAACTGAGATGGCTCCTCTGCACTCCAGTCTGGGTGACAGAGTGAGACTCTGTCTCAAAAAGAAAAAAAAAAAAAAGAGAAGAAAAGCTACCATCACTGTTCTTTGGTTCTGGCCTACTGATGCATGGTGACTTCCATTGTCTCTGGTTTGTTTGAATGTTATAACATCAAATAACCATTTGGCACTGAGTGAGCTTGACATTTTGAAAACAGACATTTTAGACTGCTAAATACATTGCCCTCTTGGTTGTAAACCGCAAAGTACAATAAGTACAATGCCTTATGGCCATCTCCCCTCTCACTTATTATTTGAAGTGTCATGTTTTGGTTCCAGTCCATGGATCCCAAGAAGGGTAGGAACCCTGTGGTAAATGGATATATCTGGGAAACATGGAGAATAAATGCTAGTTGAAAAATATATGCCTTTTATCATGAACTCCTGTTTCTGAGGCTCTACAATATGAAACACATTTGAATTTTTTATGCTATAAATACATTGGCTCTTTACATTTCCAAATAAATTTGCCAATGAAAATGAACAAACAGCTTTATGAAAAGTTTTAAAGATTTTCTCATATCTTCTATCCTTGTGTTTCCCTAGGAATACTAAAGGTCAGTGAATACAGTGAAATGTGAACAATACAATGCAATACTATCCGAAATCTGCTTTAAAACATTGAAGGAAAGAACAATATGTATAGTGGTTAAATGAAACAACCGACAAATTATAGATAATTGTGAAAGGTGGGTGATGGGTACATGGGAGTTCATCAGGCTTTTGTATTTGTGTGAAATTAAATGTTTTTACAGAATTTTTTTACAAGTCAAAGTCATAAAGAATTATCATAAAATATCTCTTTAAACAGGTCAGGTGTGGTGGTTCATGTCTATAATTCCAGCACTTTGGGAGGCCAAAGTGGAAGGATTGCTTTAGTCCTGTAATCTCAGCTACTCAGGAGGGTGAGGCAGAATTGCTTGAACCTGGGAGACAGAGGTTGCAGTGAGCCTACACGGTGCCACTGCACTCCAGCCTGGGTGACAGAGTGAGACGCTACCTCAAAATTTAAAAAAATCAAGGTAATAGAAGTGGAAGGTTAAAAATGAGTATGAAAAAAAGTGGAAGTCAGAATAGGATATAATTTGAATCTAAGTTTTATGGTTGTCTATGAATCTATAATTCATATTTCCCAAATTCTCTTTCTTTCTTTTTTTTTGAGATGGAGTCTCACTCTGTCACCCATGCTGGAATGCAGTGGTGCGATCTCAGATCACTGCTGCCTCAACCTCCTGGGAAGCACAAGTGATCCTCCCACCTCAGCCACCTGAGTAGCTGGGGCCACTGGTGCATGCCACCTGCCTGGCTAATTTTTTATTTTATGTAGAGATGGGATCTCACTACATTGCCCAGGCTGGTTTCAAACTTCTGGGCTCCAGTGAGCCACCCGCCTTTGCCTCCAAAAGTGCTGGCTGGGATTACAGGCATGAGCCACTGCCTCCAGCCCCAAATTTTCTTAGTCCGAATTTTAATTATTCTGTTTTAGGATAATAAATTTTTTAAATGTGGTCTCTTTATGTGCCAGTGAGGGAATCAAGTGAGGAGTTGTCATCCAAGGATCACTTGTCCTTTGTCACAATGTTGAAGTCCTACAGTCAGTCTTGACTGGAAATTCTTCTGAGGCTCCATGAAATCTTTTCCTGCACATGAATGTCCCTGCAGCACTCTCCTGATTTACTCACCTGCTGCCCCGAGTTCTCCTTTACTAACCCTCAACAACATCTGCCCTTCTGAAGCAGATTCCTTGAACCTAGAATGACAGGGAGAACTCGATGTAGTCTAAGCAGAAAGGCTGAAATTTAATTTTTTTCATTAAGAAAAAATAAGGAATCTCTCTCCTGGGGAGGAATTATAAAGCAGGATCTCTCACAGGCCTTCAGTTTCCCAGTCCTTATTGATATGTAAGCTAATTTTAGGTGGATATGATGGTTTTTAACATTTTAATAGTCATGCTTTTACTTAATGTATATGAGAAATATATATCTAGAAAGTGGTAGTGATACGAAGTTTCATTTTAAGGTAAGCAAAAAGTGAACCAGTAATCCCAGCACTTTGGGAGGCCGAGGTGGATGGATCATGAGGTCAGAAGATCGAGACCATCTTGGCCAACATGGTGAAACCCTGTCTGTACTAAAAATACAAAAATTAGCTAGGTGTGGTGGCACACACCTGTAGTCCCAGCTATTCAGGAGGCTGAGGCGGGAGAATCACTTGATCCCGAGAGGCAGAGGTTCCAGGGAGCCGAGATTGTGCCCCTGCACTACAGCATGGCACAGAGTGAGACTCTGTCTAAAAAAAAAAAAAATACAAAGTAAAAGAGAGTATATGGATAATCTACAGATATGGCAAAGAATTATTAGGATAATGTACAAATGACTAAATTTTCAGAAACATGAGAATGTAGAAATCAGAAATACATAGATATGACCAAAATTGCACAGACATGCAATAGGAGACCCAGGAAATAGGGTAATGTAAAACTCAGAAACCTATTTAAATCATGCTTGTTACAAACTTGGATTTTTCCCTATTAAAATCTGTAGTCTGATACAATGGTGCACTTCTGTAGTCCCAGCTACTTGGGATGCTACGGTGGGAAGATCACTCGAGCTCAGGAGTTAGCAGCCAGCATGAGCAACACAGTGAGACCCTGTCTTTAAAAAAAAAATCTGCAATGCAATGGTTCTAAGTCTGTTATCCACCATTACATACATGAGAAGCTTCATATGCACCATGCATTCTCATGGAAATACATGATTCCTGTGCTTCTCTGTAATTCCATCTCTTTCTCCATCACTCCAGAGGATACTTTGGAAGGCAAGCAAATGAAAAATGTTATAATAAAAGCACTATTCCATCTGAGCACAGTGGCTCACTGCTGTAATCCCAGCACTTTGGGAGGCCAAGGCAGATGGATCACTTGAGGTCAGGAGTTCAAGACCAGCCTAGCCAATGCAGTGAAACCCCACCAGTACTAAAAATACAAAAATTACCTGTGCGTGGTGGCATATCCTTGTAATCCCAGCTATTCAGGAACCCAGGAGGCAGAGGTTGCAGTGAGCCAAGATCGTGCCACTGCACTCCAGCCTGGGCGATGGAGTGAGACTGTCTCAAAAAAAAAAAAGCAGCATTATTACTACACGAATTCATTTTTGCAGTGTGTAAACTATTTACAAATAGGTACTTTAACTCTTAATAACAGTCTCAGCACACCCCATGACTGATCGCCACCTGATTACACTTGTCACAGCATAAGGATGCCTGAGAAATGGTGGTCTTACAAACTAGTTTGGGTCTGAGATGTCATGTGTGCAGACCCCTGTTGGGGAATTTGCACGGTAGGGACTGCTTTCCTTGTTGCCTCTGATCTAATGTCCTCTTTTCTCTTTACACATACAGACTGGTGGGCGAGAACTGCTGCTCCGTCTGATTGAACATCTCGGAACCAGTGATGGCAAAGACCCTGAAATCACAAATCTGATCAATAGTACCCGGATACACATCATGCCTTACATGAACCCAGATGGATTTGAAGCCGTCAAAAAGCCTGACTGTTATTACAGCATCGGAAGGTAAAGAGGGGCTGGCCTATCTTTATTTCAAAATGGAACAACACAACATAAAGGCTCCTGCCAGGCACCTGTTGGCCTTGGCAAGAGGAGTGTGTCCTGGTGACAGCCCTCAGAGCCAGTGTCCTGTCACTGACATGCCAAAGCTCAAGGCTCCTAGGGCTGTGACCAGCTTTCAGGATGAAATGCGACTCAGGCTACTTTGCACAGGTGCCCACCCAGCCTCTCCATCTTCACTTGCCACTCCCTCGCCCTCCCCTGCCTCCGCCCCTCTGTCCCTCCTTCCTGTCCTGGAACTACCAGTGCTTTCTCACCTCAGTGTTTTACACACACCATTTCCTCCCACTGCCTAAATAGCATTTCCTCCAAGACTCTTTCTCCCCGAACTGTCTACCTGAGACACGTCTAGCCATGGGGCTTGTCTTGTTTTCTTTTCTCCCTTCTTTTTCCTTCTACTATTTTTTGGTGAAAATGAGGTCAGAGAAATGTAAAACCTGCAAGGTAAGTAAAGGAAATAGAAAGGACAGAGAAAGTCTTCCTGACTAGAATCTGGGCCTACATAAATATTCCTTAATATTTAGATAATATTTTTATGTAACATTTTGACCACTTTCTTACCATTAATATTTTTCTTTTTTTAATTATACTTTATGTTCTGGGGTACATGTGCAGAACGTGCAGGTTCGTTACATAGGTATACACGTGCCATGGTGGTGTGCTGCATTGATCCCCCCATCATCTACATTAGGTATTTCTCCTAATGCTATCCCTCCCTATCCCCCCACTGCCTGCAATCCCTCCCCTAGCCTCCTACCCCACAACATGCCCCACTGTGTGATGTTCCCCTCCCTGTGTGTGTCCATGTGTTCTCATTGTTCAACACCCACTTATGAGTGAGAACATGTGGTGTTGGTTCTCTGTTCTTGTGTCAGTTTGCTGAGAATGATGGTTTCCAGCTTCATCCATGACCCTGCAAAGAACATGAACTCATCCTTTTCTATGGCTGCATAGTATTCCATGGTATATATGTGTCACATTTTCTTTATGCTATCTATCATTGATGGGCATTTGGGTTGGTTCCAAGCCTTTGCTATTGTAAACAGTGCTGCAATAAATATATGAGTACATGTGTCTTTATAATAGAATGATTTATAATCCTTTGGATATGTACCCAGTAACGGGATTGCTGGGTCAAATGATATTTCTAGTTCTAGATCCTTGAGGAATCCTCACACTGTCTTCCACAATGGTTGAACTAATTTACACTCCCACCAACAGTATAAAAATGTTCCTATTTCTCCACATCCTCTCCAGCATCTGTCTCCTGATTTTTTAATGATCACCATTCTAACTGGCGTGAGAGGGTATCTCAATGTGGTTTTGATTTGCATTTCTCTAATGACCAGTGATGATAAGCTTTTATTCATATGTTTGTTGGCTGCACAAATATCTTCTGTTGAAAAGTGTCTGTTCATATTTTTCACCCACTTTTTGATGGGGTTGTTTGTTTTTTTCTTGTAAATTTGTTTCAGTTCTTTGTAGGTTATGGATATTAGCCCTTTGTCAGATGGCTAGATTGCAAAAAAATTTTTTTTCAACAATTTTTATTTTTATTTTTATTTATTTTTTCATTTTATTGCATTTTAGGTTTTGGGGTACATGTGAAGAACATGCAAGATTGTTGCATAGGTACACACGTGGCAGTGTGATTTGCTGCCTTCCTCCCCATCACCTACATCTGGCATCTCTCCCCTTGCTATCTCTCCCCAACTCCCCGCCCCCCACCGTCCCTCCCCTATTTCCCCCCAACTGACCCCAGTGTGTGGTGCTCCCCTCCCTGTGTCCATGTGTTCTCATTGTTCAACACCCGCCTATGAGTGAGAACATGCGGTGTTTGATCTTCTGCTCTTCTGTCAGTTTGCTGAGAATGATGGTTTCCAGGTTCATCCATGTCCCTACAAAGGACACAAACTCATCGTTTTTGATGGCTGCATAATATTCCATGGTGCATATGTGCCACATTTTCCCTGTCCAGTCTATCATCGATGGGCATTTGGGTTGGTTCCAGGTCTTTGCTATTGTAAACAGTGCTGCAATGAACATTCGTGTGCATGTGTCCTTATAGTAGAACGATTTATAATCCTTTGGATATATACCCAGTAATGGGATTGCTGGGTCAAATGGAATTTCTATTTCTAGGTCCTTGAGGAATCGCCACACTGTCTTCCACAATGGTTGAACTAATTGACACTCCCACCAACAGTGCAAAAGTGTTCCTATTTCTCCACATCCTCTCCAGCATCTGTTGTCTCTACATTTTTTAATGATCGCCATTCTAACTGGCATGAGATGGTATCTCAATGTAGTTTTGATTTGCATTTCTCTGATGACCGTGATGATGACCATTTTTTCATATGTTTGTTGGCCTCATGTATGTCTTCTTTTGTAAAATGTCTGTTCATATCCTTTGCCCACTTTTGAATGGGCTTGTTAGCTTTTTTCTTGTAAATCTGTTTTAGTTCTTTGTAAATTCTGGATATCAGCCCTTTGTCAGATGGGTAAACTGCAAAAATCTTTTCCCATTCTGTTGGTTGCAGGTTCACTCTAGTGATAGTTTCTTTTGCTGTGCAGAAGCTCTTAAGTTTAATTAGATTCCATTTGTCTATTTTGGCTTTTGTTACCATTGCTTTTGGTGTTTTAGTCATGAAGTCCTTGCCCATGCCTATGTCCTGAATGGTATTGCCTAGGTTTTCTGTGTATCTATCTATGTATGTATATACATATATTATATATAAGTGTATATATACATATATTATGTATAAGTATATATATACATATATTACGTATGTGTATCTACAAGCATATACATATATTATGTACATATATCTATATATGTACATGCATAGATATCTATGTATATATCTATATATACATATATTATATACATGTAGTATGTATATAACTATAATATATGCATATATAATGTATATATGTATCTATACATCCCATAGTGTATATGACATATATACACATATAATGTGTATGTTATGTATGTATACTAGATAAGATACATATACATAATATATAAATATATACATACACATCTAAGAAAAAGAATACTAAAATTATTATAAATAATTGCTAAATTAGATATAAATCTGATGACTGTCCTACAGAGTAATAAACCATAACTTTTGGTGCTATCTTCTTTACAGAGCAGAAATCATTTTTGTCTCTGCAGGACAGATATTATATCTCTATTGAACAAAATATTAACATCTTACCAATTTTCTACAAGCTAATATCTGAATTTACTGTTGTAAAATGTGCAAATCAGTAATAACAAGTCAGGATTCAATTCACCTTAGATAGGCTAGTTAGGCAATGCCCTCATATGAAAACAAATTATGCAATCATATTTTGCCTTCCAAATTTTGGAAATTTTTTTCTGACCAAAGGTCATCCCAGTGTACAGTCCTCACTGGTCATATGTGAAAGGGACTGTTTGGCCCCTCATGATTACCATTATCTCTTTTAAAAATGTTTGCCAATTTCATAGGTAAAAATGAAATATCATAATTTTAAGTTTTAGTATTAATGTGACAACATTTTTCTCAGTCTTATTGAACATTTATCATTCTTTTTTAAAAAAATATTAATATCTATTGCTCATTTTTCTAGTGATTAGTCTTTTCTTTCGTGATTCATGTTTTTTGACATATTCCTACCAAGTTTACTCATAAATTACATATTAATTTATATTTTTTTCCATTTTTATTGCATTGGTATTTTTATTTTTTCATTGACTTTTCCTTCTTACATCTTATTTTTTCAGTGAATTTTAGAGCAGTTTGAGGTTTGCAGAAAGATTGAACAGAAAGTGTAGAGTTCTCATATACCCTTTTCCTGCCCCACCCACACACACAGTTTCCCCGATTATTAACATCTGGCATTAGTGTGGCGTATCTGTTACAATTGATGAGCCAATGCTGATACATTACTATCAACTAAACTCATAGTTCACATTACATAGGCTATGAGGTTTTTTAATAGAAAAACTAGCTGATTTTATTATTATCAAATGCCAAACAAGTCTTTAAATCAACTAAAATGTATTTAATTCAACATAAAGTTAACTTTCACATTTGTCAACAACCACAGTAAATACAGCTCTTAGCATAAAGACACAGACATTAGAATTTAGTCTCCCCACCTGCAAGATTATATATATAAAACTCCCACTGTTGTTTATATAATAGTTGATTAATCAAAATAGTTATACTATCTAGAATAAAATAAAATGGAAATAATTTACTCATAAGAGTCACATTTAAATCATCTTTATTTACAAAATATTATCGTGAGATTTATAATTCTTTTAACCATCAATTTTAGCAAAAGCATAAATAAAGTAAGTATAAGTAAAATTATACAGTAACAGCAGTTACTTTAAATTGAAAATAAGATCAGTCAAAATGATTGTTGAAGAGAGCAAAAATCTTGTCAGGTTTCATGCTGTGGTTCTGGATGTTCAGTAGCAGGCTCATTTGAAGGCAGAATTAATCCTGAAGGAACTCGTTTCTACTTTTAAAATATCTAGGTGGGAGGAAAAAATCCAGGTTTTGGGGGAAGATAAGGAGGAAAATTCCTCGGTGGATACACATTTCTCACTGTTGAAAGAGAGTGGTAAAAGACAGTTTATAACTTTGAGAACCTTTATTGTGCCCTAATAAATCATTAACTTTATAGCTTCCATTACCTATTCTTTATTTGCAAATTGACACCAGAATAATTACTTGATCTATGAAACTGATTTTTACAACATTGAGAAAAATGTACCTCTTCAGATACAGATAATTAAAGGAAATGTCATTAATTTTTAATGTAATTTTTGTCCTATCTTAACACCTGCTTTTTAAAAAAGATAAAATATTTCAAAATATATAAAACTTACTGTAAAAATAAAATTTTTCTTACATTATCAAAGTCCTTCTCAAAAAACATTTCATGTAACTTAATTCTCACCAAACTTAAAATTCACATCAGTGATTCCCAATTCTGATTTGATATTATACTAATACATTTCCAGTTATATCAAAGAACACTTTAAAATTCTCCCAAACAAAATTCATTTTAATTCACTTTAAACTTTAAAAAGAGAGGAGAAACAAGGGTAGGAATGACTAGATGAGACATTCATAGGCAAAGCCTGGTATTTGGTAATCATATATTTATTCTGCAGCACCCTATAGTTCAAAATGGTAAAGTAGGAATAGAAAAGCAATATATTATTCCCTTTTCTTATGTGAAGCTTTAAAAGAATTCAATAAATTCAACAGTTTGGTCAAACATAATAAATACATTTTAAATTTTAAATAAGTAGGACTACTTATGAAGAATATTTTTTAAAAATAGCCAGTAATTTTAATGCTAGAATATAAATTTTAATTATTTTAACTGATGGCCAGAATAACCAGTTGTTACCAATAAGATACAGATAATTTTAGTTTTATAAGACCTGCAAAATGTCAATTATTTTTTGACTACCAAAATACAGAAATAATTCTATAGTATTAAGATGAATCCATTTGAAACCTCATTACAGTTCACTTGTGGCTGACTGCCTTCCCAATTCTGAAAAGTAAAGGTACAGATGCTTGAAAAATTTTTCCTCCACTGTGTTACTATATGAACAGATAGCAAAATTAATATCTCTGATTAATAAAACATATATTCAGCTGTAAAAAAATTTTAAAAAACGAGCATACTTGCAAATGGAGCATGTGGTGGACCTGGGAAATCCCTTGGTGGAAAATCATCTCCAGAAGATCCCTTTTCCCACAAAGGTGACAGGGGCCCAGTGTCAGAAGGACCCCTGTGAGAATCAGTTAACATATCAGAGCTTGATTCTCCTCTTTCATTGGTAATCTGATGGTCCAGAGGATTGGCTGGGGAGCCTCTTCCTCCTCTCCTTGGAAGCAAAGGTGACAGTCTGGGTGGACTCTCCAATGAAGTTGGAGGAGACAGAAAAGCTCTCATTTCAGATGAAGGCCGACCCAATGTTGAGGGACCATATGGGGAATGCTCTCTGCCAAGTGGTGTGTTTGGGACATCCAGTGCATACAGATCTTTTTCGAAAAGTTCAAATTTAAACTCAATTTCCGTTAACTTTTGTCTGTTGTGAGCACATTCTTTCCTTAAATCATAGAGATTTCTCTCAGCAGTTCGAGCTGCAAACCAATTATCATGTGCTTTTTTTTCATAGGAAATAGTGTGCCCTTGATAATAATGCATTGTTCTCTCCAATTCTTCTTCAAGATCTTTGGCTCGCTTTCTGTAGGTCTCCAGCTCTGCGGTGGCATGGCTGATCCTTTTGTCTACTTTAGAAAGTTTCTCTTCTGTCTCTACCCAGTAATTTTCCTCTGTTGTTAATTCCCTGTAGAGTTTCATTTCATTTTCTTCATATAGTTCAGTCATTACTTTAAGTTTCTGTTGAAGCTTCTGATTCTCACCTTCAAAACGTATGTTTTTTGACTGCAAAGATAGTTGTTCAGTCTCAAGATTTTTAATACACTCTAAGCTCTTCTTTCATTTTATCTTCAGATGACTGAATGTAAATTTGATTTATTTCTCCTTCTAAGCTTTTTAAAAAAACATTGAACTTAGCAGCATGAATCAGTTTCTTCAAAGCTCCTTTTGGAGGATGATCTACGTAAGCACCATTTTCCAATTCACTGTTCATTTCTAACTCCAAGTTATCACCATCCGTTCTGTCTTCTCCAAGCGTAGCAGCCCAATCTTTCATCTTTAGCAGGCGTTCAGTCAGAGTCTTGATGTGATTGTCTTTATCACTGAGAACTTGTTCTGCGTGTACTTTGGAGTCTTCCAATGTTACTTTCTGTTTATTAAGTTCACTCACTTGTTCTTTCCATACTTCAGCTTCTTGCAAAAGTTGTTTCTGGCTTTCCTGAGGTTGAGAATTTTCATCTAAAGCATCTTTTATTGCTATCTTCAGTGGTTCTTCATTCATTTGAAATAAAGTCTTGAAGATCATTTTGGCTTCAGCTACTTGTGATTCAAGGGATTTTGACTCATCTTCTAGAGACTATATCCTTTTTGAAATATCTGCCATCAGTTCATTTTTTTCAGACTGTTTCGATTTCTCTTCTTTAACCCTTTTACTAGACGGAGTATTTCCTCCTCAAGCTCCGTATTGGACTTGTTCAGCTTTTCACAAGTTGCCTCCAAACTTTGTGCTTCTGTTGCCTCCTTCTCAAAGCTGGGATCCTGTAAAGATGACTCAACTTCATAGCCTTCATGCTGTTTTTGAATAACACTACATTTTTCAAGTAGTGTACATTTTTCCTCAATTAGTCTAGAAAGTGTTTCAGCAAGTGTTTTCTCTCTTCCCACATAAAGCCGATTCCTAACCGATCTAAACCCTCTCCACAAAAAAAAGGTAACAGCAAAAAATACAAAAATAACTGCCCATATCACCCATTCCCATGGAAAACCATAAGAATTAGAATCTGCTCCCATACTTTGACGCAGTGCTGCCACAACCCTGTGTAGCACCTCCAGAACCAGCCTCAAGTAAGGCTGAGGGGTAGCCTGGGGCTCCTCCATAGCGCCAAGGCTGCTCTCGGGGTTGCCACAGTAACCTTGGCCTGTGGAGGCCACAACAAAGGACAGAAAACAGGCAGCTTTCTGTCTGGAACTTGAATCCACAGGGGGCAACCAGAACAGACCACTGCAGAGCCGGCTGCAGGGGGAGCTGAGGGACACCAGGGAAATGGGAGATGCAGGAACCCACAGGCCTCACAGGCCCATGCTGCCTTTTTATTTTTTATTTTTACTTTATTTTTAGAGATGGGGTCTTGTCATGTTGTCCAGGCTGGTGTGGAACTCCTAGCCTCCAGCAATCCTCCTGCCTTGGCCTCCCAAAGTGCTGAGATTACAGGCATGAGCCACAGTACCTGGCCTAAAATTTTTTTCTGCTTCAGTACATCCAAAATATCCTGATGAAACTGAGAATACATATTTTCTTGGGCAGGTATCAAGTGTAACAAATTAAAATCTTTTCAGAAGCTACTTTCTTAATAGTTGCTATATTTCATTAAATCCAAGATACTGTTGATTATAAAACCCAGTGTACTACCAAGAAAAAAAGAAAATATTTTTGGTTAAAGACATGATGTTTTTAGCCATAAAAAAATTTAAGACACATCCCAGTTCTGAGATATTAAAATATGAAAAACATTGCATCTTAGACCAGGAGCAGCAGCTCATGCTTGTAATCCTTGCACTTTGGGAGGCCAAGGTGTGCAGATTGCCTGAGCTCAGGAGTTCAAGACCACTCTGGGCAACATGGTGAAACCTCATCTCTACCAAAATAAAAAAAGTGAGCCAAGTGTGGTGGTGCACGCCTGTAGTCCCAGCTACTCAGGAGGCTGAGGTACAAAAATAGCTTTAACCCAGGAGGCAGAGGTTACAGTGAGCTGAGATTGCGCCACTGTCCTCCAGCCTGTTTGACAGAGCAAGACTCCATCTCAAAAAAAAATAATAATAATGTTACATCTTAGTCTCCAGTAAAATGAAGGCCAGGGACAGTGGATCGTGCCTATAATCCCAGCACTTTGGGAGGCCAAGGCAGAAGGATCACTTAAATCCTGGAGTTTGAGACCAGCCTGGGCAACATAGTGAGACCCCATCTCTACAAAAAAAAAAAAAATTAGCTGGGTGTGGTGGCACACATCTGTGGTCCCAACTACTCGAGAGACTGAGGTAGGAGGATCACTTGAGTCCCAGGGATTGACACTGCAGTGAGCCGTGATCACGCCACTGCATTTCAGCCTGAGCTAACAGAGCAAGACCCTGTTTCAAAACAAACAAACAAATCAACAACAACAAATCTCCTTAAGCAAGCTAGAAGTCAGACAGAGAAGCTCATGTAATCATTCTTGGTGGTGTATTTTAGTTAAAATGAAAAGCATTCCAAATTTCTAGCAAAATGTGTCTTCATTTAAATAAATGAAGGTGTCCGTGTAAATAGCTCTCAGCATCTTACATGTTTGTTTTGTTGAGTCAAATTGTAAAATGGAGTCAGGTTAGAAGAGGAAAGAGAATAAAAGAGGTGCATAGTGTGGGGTGGTCTGTTGTAGCTCTCCTACAAAAAAAAAGTGATGCCACAGGAAGGGGTATTGGGATACAACTGATGAGAGGGATTAATTTGTGGACTTTGATGAGAAAATAGGAAGGCGCAGAGAAAGGACACAAAGGAAATGAAAGAGAAGGCGGGGAAGGATGCAAGGAGTGGCAAAAACAAAGCCATCCAAAATAGGAGAAAATCTTTCAGTCCTCTCAAAGAGATTTCACACGAGCTTCTGCTCGACCCAGCAATGTTCTGTTCCCATTTCAGAAATTGAAACGATCTCCTACTCTCCGGCGACATCCACTCCTGGGAATGGGGCACAGCACCTTGTCAACTCATATAAGGAAGATATTATGGAACGGAGGCAAATCCCTCAGAAAGTAGTTCATGCTTTCGTTCTCATGGAGCTTAGATAGAGGGGCTCAAGAAGCTTAGTTATTTAGCCTGTGTAAAGAAACAGGATCCAGATGCTTTGGAGATTAATTAAAAGGGCCCACCCTGAGGTTCACAAAGAAAAGCCAAATCTTGCCAGGACCTGGAAAATCATTAAGCGCTTGTCCAGGACATTACATGGTGCTGAGCTAGGCCTCAGCATAGAGGCAATGTGAGGCGGGATTAGGGACCTCTCAGTGTGCTTAGCTATTGTATTACAAAGGACACTATGAACTTGTCTCCTTAAAGAAAGGCACTGAAGATGAGGAACAGCCCCCCACACCAGCCTCCAGGACTTCTTGACTATCTTCTCACACAAAGCATACTTGTGTCAAAAATGGGAAGAAAATGTAGATGACGCCAGTGTTTCTAGCCAGGACAGGCTCTGAGCTAGCTAACATGCCAATGGATGTCCGTTTCTCTGTCCATGAATCGTCCCCCAGGCACAGAGTAGAACCTATGCCAAGTATGCTATATTTTTATCTGCCCTGCCATCTGCATCCCGTGTTGCCAAACACTGAAATATTACTCCGTGCTTAGTCCATCCACGCAGACAATGCTGAGGAGTCCCCCTATTGCTTATTCATGTGATTTTATCAAATCAAAACATTTAGAAGCAGCGTTTAGAAGAAAGCCATGGCATCAGATCAGTATATTTGAGTACCACCAAGGAAAGGACAGAAAGGGATCTGATGGCATTTGCTATGACCCTGGAGAAACCCTCCCAAGGCATTTTTCTGTGTAAAGAGAGAAAATGGACATTTTTTTTCAAATTTAGGTATAACTTACATACAGTAAAAAACACTCATTTTCTTAAGTGTGCAGCTTGATTAAATTTTATATAAGTCTACCCCTGCGTAACAACCATTCAGATCAATATATAGAATATTTCTTTTTTTTTTTTTTTTTTTTTGTCTCACTCTGTCACTCAGGCTGGAGGGCATGTTGTGATCATAGCTCACTGCAATCTAGAACTCCTGGGCTCAAGTGATCCTCTCACCTTGACCTCCTAAAGTGCTGGGATTATGGATGTGAGCCATCATGCCTGGCCAATATATAGAATATTTCTCTCACCTCATGAGATTCCCTCATGCCCCCAGCCAGTCAATAACCCCTCAAAAGTAACCATTAACCTCACATCTATATTGATAGATTTTAGTCAATTCTTGAATTTCATGTGTATGGAATCACGCCATACGTTCTGATAGCATATGCTCTTTTGTTTCTGTCTGCTGTCACTCCAAACTATGTCTATGAGCCTCACCAATGTTGCATATAGGTGTTCATTTTTTGTTGATGTGTAATATTCTATCATGAATGTTCTAGAGTTTATTCATTCTACTATGGTTGAACAGATGAGTGGCTTACAATTTCTAGTTATTAAAAATAAAGTTTCTGTAAATATTCTTCAATTTACAGAAATATAATATTTGATGGATATCTGTGCTCATTTTTCTTGGGTATATACCCACGAGTGAACCTGATGGATCAGAAGGCAGGTTTATATTTAACCAAATGGTTTTTTAAATTTGTACATTCTACAGCAGCAACATCTGAGAGTTCCAGTTTCTCCACATTCTCACTCTCACTTAGAATTGTAAGTCCTTTTAACTTTTCCATTCCGCTGAGTGTGAATGATATTCAGCATAGTTTTAATGTGCTTTTCCCTGAAGTCTAATGCTGTTGAGTATGGGAATAGCTGTGTATAAATACAGTGATCAGTTTGGAATCATTTCGCAATGAGAGTAAGAATAATTTAAAAAGGGCATTGGAAGAAAATGACTGTGAGATTAAATACTGTACTTTCATACTTTCATCCATGCTTATCCCCCTCTGCTTTTTCCTTTTTTTTTTTTGGTTTGAAACAGAGTCTCACTTTATCATCCAGGCTGGAGTACAGTGGTGAGATCTCATCTCACTGCAACCTCCACCTCCCAGGTTCAAGCGATTCTCCTGCCTCATCCTCCCAAGTAGCTAGGACTACAGACGTGCACCACCATGCCTGGCTAATATTTTTAGTAGAGACAGGGTGTCACCATGTTAGCCAGGATGGTCTCGATCTCCTGACCTCATGATCCGCCCGCCTCAGCCTCCCAAAGTGTGGGGCTGAGCCACCGCGCCTGACCTGCTTTTTCTTTTCTACATTGCCACCTTTCTGTTTCATTCAATAAATACTTGTGAATATTGACTCCTTTCAGTGGACAAACCAGGACTTTCTCCCTTCCCCTCTCCCTTCTCTAGTTCTCCTTAGAGTGGGAAAAAAATCAATGGAAATAAAGGCACTGGAATGCAGTAGATAGCTTTGAGGAATTCCACCTCACCAGACTCTTCTCCTCTAAGAACTATTCCACATATACAAATGTGGGCCCCTACAGGAATGTTTGTATCATGTGACCCCACCTCTTCCACTGTTTGGATAAGTGGGGGCGCCTGGTTTAGAAGAAGGTGCCTTCACTTGTTGGCATTTGTTGGCATGAACCTAAAAGCTTATCTATCCTAAGCATTTGGGGTTTGGCTATTGAGATGCTAGTCAGTTTACCAGGGACACTGGAACTGAGAGGGTGTGAAGACAAGCCAGATGCACAGAGAAGACAAAGCTAGTCTACAGACAGAGAGACAAATAAAGAGGAGATGTGCGGACCAGGCACAGGGGCACACATCTGTAATCCCAGCACTCTGGTAGGCTGAGGTGGAATGGTCACTTCAGCCCAGGAGTTCAAGACCTCAGCAACATGGCAAGACCCTGTCTCTACAAAAATATTAACAACAACAAAGAAATGAGCTGGGTGTGGCGGCATGCACCTGTGGAGCAAGAATCTGTAAAGAGAGGGAGGGAGGTAGGGGAGAGAGAGAGAGAGAAAGAGAGAGAGAGAATGTAGAGATAAGATGGAGTGCAGCTAAGAGAAAGTAACTCCCACCATGCTTATTTCTGGTTCCATTCCTGTGGATGCTCAGCAGCCTTCCTGCCTTGGGCTCTGTGAGATGTCTTAATCGTGATTCAAGTGAATTTCCCATTTCTGGTGAAGTTAGTTCAAATACATTTTTGTGACTTGCCCACAGAAATCATGAGTAAAAGAATTCT